TTAGCAAAGGAAGTACCGAGATCCAGGACCTTCCCATGAAGTTTGAAAGCTACAAAACTAGTCACATTGTAGAATCCGTCAATGTTCACAGCGCTGGCTATCTCTTCGTTTGGCGCATCAGGCATATCAATAAGTCCGCCATCCTCTGTGAAATTCTCATATATGCTCTCATCTTTTTGAGGAATGGCCTGGTCGGACTGAAATGAAGATTGATACGATGATTCTTCGTCTATATCGTCATGAAGGCAAACCAACTGAGTTGCATCATCCAACTCTGTGTTGGAATTTCTGCTGAAAATTAAGGATTTGGTTGCATTCAGAAGCAAAGACCGTATCCTGTACTTTGCTCCCACCGGGGTCGGACATGCATCAAATCTCCCTGCTCCTCGGACAAGGCTGAAAAAATTCTCGAGACAATCCTGATTGAGTCGCGAAGTCAGGATATACGTATGTCTGAAAATATGTCTCGAAGAGGAAGGAAGAAAGATTTTTGAGGGAGGAGATGGAAACAAGAATCCCCTTCTGAAAGGGAAACAGATTCGTTTTCCCTTGAACCCTCATGTTCTCCACCATGTCCTTCATGCGATCCAATATCCTTTCCTGTTCTTTGAGTCTCAAGCCATATCCAGAACGCATGGGCTTCCCTTCCGCTAGGGGCATTCTGGAGTTGAACAGATGAAAATATTCATTCACCAGGTCAATGAAATCTGCAGTATCATGTTCTTCAGGGAAGAAGTACCCATTTGCTTCTGCGACAGTGTGTGAAAGTAGCTCTGCTGCAAGGTGAACTCTCTGACGTTCCATGCCCTTAACCGAAAGATGAGATGGAGTGATCTTGTGGCAGAGTTTGAGCTCTGTTACATTATTTGTGGTAATCAATCGGTTCAGAACATCCTTGCAGATGATCTTTCTCTCAGATGTTCCCGCCACTTGCAGGTTGAAACCATAATCGAGGAGATTATTCCGAATGAGCCTCATGTGAGGAGTATCTGCAAAAAAGTAGATTTCTCGAGAAGAGTTGTGTGGATTTAAAGGATTGAGCATTTGGAAGGACATATTTCGCAATCTTTCCATAAAGGTGGACGTTGACCACCCAGATCACTGACTACAGCGACTACAATGAATTTAGCATACTCCAATGCATTTACAATCATCAGAAACACCTCTTTCGTGACCTGGTCAAATTCAATGTAAACTGGTTGTTTCCAGTTCTTGAAAACTCCTCTGGCCATTACAACTGTAATGATATGGATGGCATTGAGAGGCACGATTGAATGTCCCGGGTTCGGTGATGTAGTGGTAGCACACCTGACCGGCAATCAGGAGGCCTGAGTTCAATTCCCAGCCGTCCCCTGGCTTTCTTTCGTCCTCTCCTGCCACCAAGTCTTCCGGCCATTCTCATGACACAACCATGAGCTGTTTGTGCGGTCCAAAAATTTGGTCTTTCTGCGAATCATAGCAAAGCCTGGACTCGATTTTCATCTCGTCATAGCTGATGCAAGTCACTCTATCCTTCTCTGGTAAGACATCCCCATGGAATTTCATCAGCCGAACTATAACATGAAGAATTCCTGGCTCGCAGGAGAGATGGCACATCCGAGCTTTGAGGCTGGTCAAAGAAGGAATTGCGAGAAACGGCCTGACATAGTCGTATGCCTTTGCCGACATTATTTTCAATGGTACTGAACGTTTGAAATCTTCAGTCGACCATTTCTTCGGTCGGGACTTTGATTGGAGTATGTCTAATTGAGTATTTGAGAATATTCCCTAGAGGAGAGATTTCTGAATCACAGTGGCACATTTTCTTTTTATATCATTGATGACTTTGTTCTTTTGCTGCATCATCTGAGTGAATATAATTTTTTATCAACCTCAGTTGCTCCTGTGCTCTCTTCAACTTCTGACGAAGGATTACAACCTCTAAACAATGAGTATTCATCGTCTTCTGTTGCGACGATTTCACGTCATTGTTCTCCGTCGCAAGATGTCAGGAGACCTGCTGGTCCTCCGCGTGTTGAAATGGACCGTCTAATACGAATTTTGGAGAAGACGTTGATTCAAAGGTCAAATTCTTTGTTGGAACAGCATCTTTTTTCAAGCGCCTAATAGCATTTCCACCATAATATGAATCTGAGGAGAAGTAGTGTGAGCACACGAAAGCATAACGGGGGATAGTTTTTCTTCCCAGCGCTTGAAGCCATTCAATTCTTCTGTCAGTACATTTTGGAAATACATGAAAAGAAATATTTCCTGCATGCCGATTCCTATAAGTATTTTTTACAGGATACGACAATGCAAACATTGCTACTGCCCTTCATAAATAACAAATGCTATGATGAGATTCTGTGTAAGGAACCGAATAATATGTGCGAAATCAACAAATAGATGAGCAATGTGTAAACAATGCTGCCAAGGGTAGCTCGGACAACCCCAAGTATATGGAATTATGAGTGAGTGACGAGAGAACGAGCGTGTGCTGCCTGCCTTGGCCTAAGCTGAAGAGGTAGTGAAATGGTTTAGACCGAGCGCCGGCTTTTATAGTTGAACGTTTCCCTGAAGTCATCACACGCGCAAGATTTTACCCCCCACTCTCCCACCCCCCTTGATTGGACCCCTCAGAGTAGAGAGCGGGAGGTGTGCATAAAATGTCTCTCTACCCCGTTGCTATGTTAGGGATGGCATGGAGCAATAGGACTACGAGTCTTGGGTTCGGTGGTGTAGTGGTAACATACTAAACCGGCGACTTAGAGGCCCAGGATTCGCTTCCTGACCCCTCCATCGTTTATTTTCGTCCTCTTATGTCAACCGAATTCTTTCCCCACCCTCCGGGCTATTATTTTCTCCAGAATGGATCCGACAGTCGCAACGGCCAGAAAGAATGTAACGTACACCCAGAGGCATGCAGAAGACTCTGTGGGGAGAGCACACACAATCTCGCTGAGCGCATGCGCTTGTGATGTATGCGCCCGCATGCCCCGAACCTCCGACCACGACCACCACCACCGACCACAGTAGAGTTTATTATGTAGATGACATAGCCCAAGTAGCACATAAATGCTTTCGAGAACGTTCAACATGTTATCAAGGAGGTCTTTGGACATTCAGTGTACCAGAATGAGCACCTTTTTGGCACTCAGTTAAGGTGCCTTTTCATCCCGAACCTTCTGCATTTGAAGGACATTCGTCGAACGTTTATGATATTTTCTCATGCATATCATTTGGTATCCATCTGACATCGGCTGAAAGAAAAAAAGGTCGCACAACCGGAGATAGATGGCGCCAAGGTAGTTGCTACAGCGGGTCAATTCCTGATGAAGCTAGAATTAGTCCCCAATGCATTCCACAATATTGCCGATCTTTCTCCAAATAAACCAGAGCGGAAGATACTCAACTTCTTGAAAAATCCGTCATTGCAGATTACCCAATCCAAGGAGTCTCCAGAGAACTCAGGCTCGAACGATAGGGGGAGGATGGTTCAATTTCCAAGGTGACTTCATAGAATATAATTACAGCATTCATAGTCATATCTATCATTAAAATGAATTTCGGTGGAGGGAATGTCTGACTCCTAAATATATCTGCAGATAGCATGAAAAAGTATGTGGTAAGACCGAATTTCCCCACGTTTCTCCACCAGACTATCCCAGCCAGCATAAGATATTACCTTCAATCCTACTAATCGGCCACATTATGGTTTCTAACCCCAGCCACGTGAGATGGGCTCTACTTAGACCGAATGCAATTTAAGTGATGAAAAGAACGTATCAAAAACGTTAATTGCATATCGGATGAATCCTAAAAAATCAAGTTTTATTGAACAGTTTCCATGGAAATATCCATTTCAAGTTATTTCAATGAACTCATAAATTGAACTGTTTTTCATTGCTTTGAATTTTTCACATTTTGGGCAGTCAATAGAACGTTCCCAAGGACGTTAATTGAACGATGGCAAAAAGTTGAATGAAACGTTGATTGAACACGTTCGGGTCCTACTTCGGTGGTGGTCTCTGAAGATCATGGTGATTCCTTCCATGACGACAGAGTATTTCCTTTCCTCCTGTTTGCAGTAGGTTTTACCTGCAACTAGTTTAGAAAAATTCATTTCGCACTGCACAAGCATAATAATTTATTCAACGAAGTGAAATTCTAAAGGAATAAATGCATCGGACCGAATATTTGGACTTGAGCCTGCTCCTCGCTTTTGCAGAACTTGAAATGTATACAAATTTGATCAGGAATCTGAAAATAATCTAATCTATAGCAACCATTCAGCATCATCCCCTGAAGGAACAGCATCATCCCCTGGCTGCTTCTTAAGGTGTTCCCAGTTTCGGTTCATGTTAAATTTCGATGCAGTTTTTTAGTTCATATTTACCATTGACGAGGAACAATCCCCTTTTCTACGTCGGGATGCATGAGATAACCGAAGCTCACGAAACACTGCAAGTCCAGACTTAAAATTAAAGAATGAAACTAATTCCCAAATAAACACCCGTGCGGTGAACTCGTAAAGTGGGCAAAACCTGGTCTATAGAAAAGAAAGAGGCATATAAGTCACACTTTCGTGCTAATGAGGCACTAAGCCATCTTCTTCTGGGCGGACGTCAGTCAGGTTAGATCACTCTAGGCGAAGATGATCGAATGTGGAACGTGAAGAACGAGGCAAAGATGAGATTGTCCGTTATAAATGGGGACCTGGTGGAAATTTATTGGCCATAGAATCTGACGCTCATGGAATGGAGAGGTTGGGAACTTGATCGCATTGCCCAGATCGTGACGCTATCAATAATAAAATTTTTCTCATATTTAGGACTATGAATGAGGGGAAAGAAGGTTTCTTTTTTTTTTTAGACTGAAGGAGTGTGCTGCTTGGATGAATTTATGAGGATAAATATAGATTCATCGTGAACATGATGCAGGCTCAAAAGTAAAGTAATCCTCTAAGATTTAAACCGACCTCCGTCTCTTTCCTGGTCCCCAACCTCTCCTCTGAAGTAGATTTAGAAGTACTGGCAGACGAAGGGGAGCTCGGTGGAACAAGGGATGTCGAACCAGTATTCCCCCAAGAGACTGAGACAATTCTTGTCTCGTCCGCCGTTTGGGGCTTGCTGCTGACCCGCTGGGAGGCTGCTGTTCGTTCCCCACCAATTATAGGATGTTATCGGCGTGTTGTTCACCTGGAGGAAACCTGGGCGATGCAAACGGAATTAATATCAGTGGGGAGCTTGCAATATTTTGCCAGTCATGATGCAATGTCGCTTCAACAATATTTTAAACAATGTTCCCCCATGGATTAGCAGTGCACGTGTGGCCATAGGTCGGCGTATGTGAGGCAGATGCCGCGTTTCTGCGGCTTTTCGTTTGTTAGACCATGCGTGGAACGGACACTCTTGCACCCACGCTTAGCAGACATGGAATTTTCACGCACAAGTGCAATCCGACTGGAGGTTAGTGAAAACTTTTCCAAATGCTTTAAAGCCCTGACGGGTACCGTGCGTAACACTTTGAACATGATAAATACGTACCGCAAAAATTTATGCGATGATCCATTGTGCCGAAGATGCACTTATATGATTTTTGGGTGTAATGCTGGGGTTCTCCTTCATGCCACTAGATGGAGGTGTGGGTTTCGCACAATTAGCAAAAGTTCCCACTTCCCCTGGATTCGCCATCAAAGGAGTGTTTAGTACCACGCCATATGTCTCGCCTAGTCTTAATAGAATGAAAAACCGAAGAATCAATAAACATTTAATCATTTTTATCCCCATATTCGAGACAGATTCGCGGAGCCCAGGACATATACAAGCTCACATTCCTGATGAGAACCGTCTGCAACATCAGGAAGGAGTTATAGGCCATTGAAGGAGTATGCATCTTCAATCCTTCATTTCTTCGTCCTGATGCTGGAATGAAGAAATTAAGGATTGAATTTGTGTATACGCCAGAGGATATATGGGGATGGTTCTTCCCCTGAAACAAACAATCATCAGTACGTTTTAGAGGTACCTCAATTCCTGTATCATCCAATGTCACTTGCCTATCCATGGTTCAGACTCCTGCTCGGGCAAGGGGTTATGCCAGCACCAGCAGTATTATTACTGTTGATAGAAATGTTTCCACAATTGTAGCAGGTTGATGCAGGAAAAACTGACATTTTTGGAGTGAACCATACACATGCCACTTAGGAGACATGCTTCCACGTGCAGAGAGACCACTTAATTCTTTTTTAATAACGTGCCCCACGCATCAGCCACATTTGGCCCACCGATGAGAATGCCAAAGATAATGCGGACATTTCGGCTACGGCCCATGCTCGTGCCACTCATGGCCACGGATGCATGTGTGGGCTAATTTCCCTTGCCCATGCTTGCCAAACGCAAACTTCGGAGATAAGCCACACTTGGCACGGGAATGAATTGCTGACTGGGTATGCTTGAACAGATGGGTTTAGTGACTTAGCTCGATGCTGTGCTGATGACAGCTCAAGGAAAGCTCGAAATTTGTGCAAATCTTACATTAGATAAGCCTTATGCATATTATATTAACTGCATTCAAGATCAAAGCATCCATGATGAAAGGACATGATATCGATACCAACTTGTGTCCTCATAGATCCACGTGCCTTCTTCTGCCTCATCGGTGGCTCCTTGCAGAATGGCTTCTGTGGTATCCATGGCGACAATTCGGATCGAACTATAGGTGATGCCACTCGTGTCGGAAGCAAGTATTGCCCCATCCTGGCAACAAACACGACTGGCCTCCGTCCGATTCATGGGCCCAGGGTACCGTTTGTACATCCGACCGTCTTCCGTCGAAAGTTCGTAGCCTTGTGCTAGAAAAACCCGATTTCAAATGCAGATTGCGATTAGCGTCTCCGTTTTTAATATTTTTCCCTCCAAAATCGCCTCACTGTTTGCTAAGCAAGAAGGAGTGACGTTGACATTCAGGAGTTGCCATGTGTTTGGTCCAATACATTTGGCTTTCAGGGGTACAAGAGGCGGGCAACGGGAAAATATTGGGCAATCGTATGAGACTTCTGATAGGAGAGGTGCAGGCAAGCTGCCATTCCATCCGTACGAGAAATACATGGTTCGATTCTCAAGTGCAGGTGGACTCGTATAGCACACGCTGGAAGCTAAAAACAAGGAGAAAATATCTAACCTCTCTGGAAAAGCTGGTCATGGGAAAACTATGAAATGATTTGAAGCGGTTTACTACACACCATTGACGTATGCCATTGCACCAGGTGCATCTTCCAAGAAGGCGTTGACCGTGTTTACCATCTCGCATGTTAGATTTCCAGGAAACCAGTTGAAGCTGTTGCAAGCTGGGCGAAGTGAATGGCAAATGGAGCCACAATCCACCAAACCTCTCACTTTCACGACATCCCTCCCAGTTCCAGCCAGGGGCCAAAATTTCCCGTCTTGTTTCAATTGTTGGAATGTGGTCGATTTGTACCCTATTAAGAAATTTCGCCTTCTAATTCAGTGAATATCACTTGAAGATGTCACTTATTGTAAAAAATAACCCAGGTCTTTGTCCATTCATGAAATTACTGCGAAGGTCTAAACCCAAACCCATGCAAGGTTGGAGGTTTTCCAATTCTCAAGAATAATATATTTACTTAAATGGGTACCTAAATTATGTTTAATAAAAATTAGACCAGTTAGTAACGCTCTCTATTCATCGGAAACACGCTCCCAAAATGGTTGCCTGCCGCGCTCCATCCTGGACAATATTTGAGCCGTGGTCTGCAAAGCACTCAATGCTCGAATAGTTTCAGGCTCAATATTCGACTTCTGTTTGAAAAATAGTCGAAGATAGTCGAAGGATTCGATCGCCTGACCGAGTAGAATTTTGAACTTTTACTGATCCTGATACTAATCGTGATGTATTTCTTGCCACCTTTGAGAACAGCGAGGATGACTTTCCATTTCTCCTAGAAGGAGAGAGCTTTTCGTTTCCCCATCTTATTCGTAGAGGGAATTAAGACTAACTGACAGGTCTCCTTTTCTCCCCTAGGCCACCCTAATAAGGGGGTGGAACATGCTGAATTTAGGCACGAAATGCAATTTTTCCGGGAATGCGCGAAAGAAAGTAGCTCTTAAGTGTCGTAAGGCTTTAAGCTTCAATATACTGAAACGTTTTGTTCCCTTGGACGAAAAAATGAGTTCGTAAAACGGAACAATTCGTTATACAGAACTTCGTCATAGGAAAATTTTCAACATGCATTTGAATGGGCAAACGACCGGGAACAGGAAAAAAAATTCGCATTAAAGAAAATACATTGTATTCGTTGTTGGTTAAATGGAGCGTCGACTGTAATGAAACAACGTGACTTTTCGTGTTGAGATTACAGTTATTTTGAGTGACTATGAACATTTAAAAAAAAATATCTCATATTTAGACCTCTTACTCTTCGAAGCATGTCATTTGGGTTGTGGAATTGGTAGGCATTGCTTGTTCAATCCAAGAGAGGACCATTTCATACTCCCAACAATCAGCAAATTCTAGGTCATGTTAGTCCTTTCTTCCTCCCATTCCGCTTCATGAAAATAGATTTTACATTAAATGCTGGGTTTCGACAAATTTGGCCTAAGGAGAAATGCTACTTTAAAATGACCCATTTGGCCTCTTTTCTTTCTGGGAATAGATGAAGTGCGTTATTCGAAATAAAAACGGATTCCTGCAAATGTAAAATGGAGCGCTATACAGCATACTGAAGACTTCGAAATCACCGTGTTCTTCGCAAAGGATCGTGTTTAATTATAATGACGACCACCTGGAAAAAAGTGGGTGCGTAATAATAGTGCTTTTCACAAGCAACAGTTCAGTAGAGACTTAACCAGTCTCATCCAGGGAGATAAGTTATTCAGAAAAACGCGTTTATTGCTAGTGATTAAAGGCAACAAAACACTTCAAAACAGATCGCTGGTACAGAAGTCCATTTTGAACTGAAGCTCATGTACAGGTTAGGAGCAAAGCCATAGCAATTGCAGAAAATGCGAAATAGCTATTAAGAATCAGTGCACAGTTATCTTTCGAAACAACCTGTTGTATTGCCCGAAACAGAGATAACTTTAATTTTTTTTATTTTAAGATGTATAATTGCTGGCTTTTTTGGCGATTCTTCATACCGATAGAGAGACAAGAGTCGATAGCCCGTCATCATTGACACCCTTCAAGTATAGATTGAGGCTTATCTACCACGGAAGTCCGTGTTTATGAACCACCAAGTTGCAGCATTCTTTCTAGGAGTCAATAAGAAAGTGTTGAGTAACAACTCATTCGATATGAAACCCTCTTCTTTCACGAATTTAGCAGCCTCGAGGCATGATACTAACCCGTCCCTCTCCATGTTTGGTCTTATGGAGAAAAAAGTGTTTCTCACCTGAGATTTCCACCAATTCAAGAAGAAAAGCAGCAACCACCAGGATCAGCAGCATGATGTCGACTGCCGCAAACACTGAGTTTGCTAAAAGGACAGAGAAGCTCCTATCCTACCCTAGCGAGTACTGATTTTGTGACTACAGACCACCATGAAAGGTTTATACCATGAGTCACGTAGACAACCAAGGGATCCCTAATTATCGTCACATGCATTCGCTTTCCCACGCTTTAATAACAGGTTGATACGTGCTTCTTCATTACCCTACTCAGTCATGGCGAATGATAAAATGATGAATCGTATGAGGCTTGGCAATTACTCTCTATAGACTGCAGATGACTTTTCTCCGTCCTTCTAACCCTTTCATGCATGGTGTCCACTATAGCGGGTGGCAAAATTGTTGGCGATGTTGATGGTTTTTTACACATGGTACACACACCTCGAATCTTTTGCTGTATGCAGTCAACTGAAAGGCACATAATCTTTTCATCGTTGTTTTCTAGCGTGAAACATATGGCTACTACGGCAGAGTACCTCCTTAAAAGTTAAACCTGAAAAGGCAAGTTTTTATTTTGCTCGAAAAATTCATACGTGAAATCGCTGAAATACGTCAAATATTGTCAAATTTCTTTAAACGTCGGCTAGTCAAGTTTGAACCAATATCTCATAGATTAGTAGAATGCTTGAGGTCGTCTATGGAAATTTTTTTCTTTGCAATTCAAGGCCCAACCAGACAATATGCGCTATACCTTTTATATATATTTCTAGTATATTTTTTCCACTCACACAAGTTTATAAATTATATTTTTTTCGCATTTTGTATTAATAGAATGGGGTATTCCGTGGAATTACCTGGAAGTCTCGTTTCCACGTATTTCAATGTCGAACTCTGAGGAAATCGGGCGAAAGAAACTAGATGCATAAATCCCTAATTTCATCTTCATCTGTCCCCGATGAAAAAAAAAATCATTCCAGGCACATTTCTCTCCCCAAGTGAGGTTTCGAAATTTTTCCTTTTTTGAAATTGTTTTTCTACAGAAATGGAGAGTCGAACGATTCCCAGTGACGATAATGAATCTGCGATAATTGCTTATTCACAACCACCAATAATACACCCATTATATTTATGGATATATTCTGGGTGATGGGGTGATGTTCAAGTTCTCATTCGCTCCAATTATGCCAATATTTGATGAGCCATACTTTGCCAAATTGACAGGCTATTAGTGTCATTATATGGGCCCTTGAATGGGCCCTGATATGGACCTTCATTGCCATTTTGAAAGCTAATCATGGACGTCGAACGGTGGATAATTGCCATTCCGTGTGGAAGCACATTAGTCAGTGAATACTGCCGCCGCTCGTTGAGTCTGTGGGATTTTCGGTGCATGACCATCCCGCAGTTATTTGCGGATTCAATTAGAGAGGGCGTTTCGTGTTCCTGGAAGTTATTGCCGGTTTTACGGTCCCGGTTATTTTTAGTCACAATTTTAAGTTGGTTAGTTTTTGAGCTTGCCAATTCTTTGGATTGTTGCAAATGTTTCATTCAGCGATGAGTTTTTTAAAAATGAAATTGGAAAAATTAACGGCGTACTGCGGAATCAAAATGCTTTATTCACAGAACCGAAAAAGTGCTTTGGATTCGAACATGGAATGAGAAAGGTACAGAAGCAAGCACATTATATTAAGCAATGATGATGACGGTTTTCGCTTTAGTCAAAGTGAAGAAGAGTGAGACAATTGGAATTTGCAACGAAGCGAGAAAAGATATGCATAAGATCGACCTGAGATTGAAAAAGACTTGAACCTGTTCCTCGCCTCTGGTGAGCGCCATTAGAACTTCATCCTCGTTAGATTCTACACTTAATATGTATTCCAAAAACGGTAATTCACCAGTCAGATGAGGATCGACGCACTCGACAGCTTTTTAAAGAGCCTCCAGTTGAAGTATAGGTTTGATTTAGAACTAAGATTATTTTGGTCTAAATGAGTATAGGCGAGGATCGAGGCCCTTGATCTTTTTCCAAGTCAAGGTGCATCAAATTTCAGCTTTCTGCAGCATCTTTCAGAGAAACTTCACTGAAAGTAGCTCACTGAAAACGTCATGCGCTACGAATCTTGTATGTATGCAGTTGAGATTGACGAATTATTCAATATTTAGCAAGCGATGAGGGTACACATATTGCTTGGAAAACCAAGGCAAAAAAAGAGGCAGGTGTTCAGGCAGACATTCTTGCTCTCGTGGAAATGGGATGCAGAACCATCGAACAGCTAGCCGACCTCAGTCTGGGAGTTCATACAAGGCGGATGTTAGTAAAGCTAGCCAAAAATTCGACATGGGGAAAGAGGAAAAATAAATGGTGAATCACGTATATATGGACCTGCTGGATATTCAGTAGCCGGAACATCCAAGATCCATGGAATGGAATGGTTGGACCTCGATATGATAAGCCAGATCCTGAAGTTATCAAGAATGCAATTTTTGTAATCGGTAGACTCTAAACAAAATGAATGGAGCTTTCTCAGCTCAGAAGAAAGGTGCTGTTTAGAAGGGTCATTAATTTATTTCAATGATCTCCATCATGCTAGATAGGGAACTCCAACTATTCATTTACTTCTGAGGCCGATTTTCAACCATTTCCTGTTCCAACTTCACTATCACCTAAGTTTAGTAGTACTGGCAGACAAAGGGGAGCTCGGTGGAGCAAGGAATGTCAAACCAGTACTGCGCCAAAAGGCTGAGGCAATTCTTATCTCGTCCGCCGTTTGGGGCTTCCTGCTGACCCACTGGGAGGCTGTCGTTCGTTCCCCACCAATTGTAGGATGTTATCGGCGTGTTGTTCACTTGACTGAAACCTGTGAGAGGCGAATGGAAGAAACAGCAGTAAGGAATGAATAATAACTGGCAAAGTTCGGCATGAAAGTTTCAACACCCTCGAAGAAAACACCGTTTCACCGGAAAAAAAGCACTTAACGCAGGAAAGAAGTACTTAACGCCTGGTAGACAGGAATACCTTTTTCATCTGCATCTGCTTAAATGGAAATTTAATAGTGCTAAAAAGAACTAATGAAGAAACCATTCAGGATTGATAGAATATATATAATTAATCAAAAACCATTCAAGACACCTGTCGGGATGATGAACATGATCTTAAGTTTCCAAATCCAGTTTCAACATTATTTTGTCTCAGGATATGAAAATCACCAAGTCTAAAATATAAAAATTTTCAACTATTTTCCTTAATATGATTTAACTTGCGCTCGAAATTTCGAACATATGGAAGGCATGACTCAGGAGAAAACTCGAAACGTGTTTTCAGCTCATATTTTTTAACGCATGAGCTCCACTACTGCTACTTTATATACTTCTGGATTCATGAAATCCTATATTTCAGTTAAACTATTGCGAAAAAAAAACAGAAATATATACCAACTTGAATCCTCGTAGATCCACGTGCCTTCCACGACCTCATCAGTGGCACCTTGGACAATTGCTTCGGTGGTGTCCGGGGCGACCATTCGGATCGAATCATAGGTGATGCCACTCGTGTCGGAAGCGAGTATTGCCCCATCCTGGCAACAAACACGACTGGCCTCCGTTCTATTCATGGGTCCAGGGTAACGCTTGTACATCCGGCCGTCTGCCGTCGAGAGCTCGTAGCCTTGTGCTAGAGAAAACCGATTTGAAATGCATATCGAGAACCACTTCTCTGCATTTTAATTTCATTCTCCAAAATTGACTCACTGTTTGCTGAGCAAGGAGGAGTGACGTTGACATTCAGGAGTTGCCATGTGTTTTGTCCGACACATTTGGCTTTCAGGGGTAGAAGAGGCGGGCAGCGGGAAAATAATGGGCAATCGTATGAGACTTCTGATAGGAAAGGTGCAGGCAGGCTGCCATTCCATCCGTCGGAGAAATTCATGGTTCGATTCTCAAAAGCAGGTGGACTCGTATTACACACGCTGGAAGCTATAAACAAGGCGAAAATCTCTAATCTCTCTTGAAAAGCTGGTCATGGAAAAATTATGGAATGATTTGAAACTGTACACAACATACCACTGACGTAGGCTATTGCTCCCGGTGCATTTTCCAAGAGGGCATTGACCGTGTTCACCATCTCGCATGTTAGATTTCCAGGGTACCAGTTGAAGCTGTTGCAAGCGGGACGAAGTGAGTGGCAAATGGAACCACAATCCACCAAACCTCTCGCCTTCACGACATCCCTCCCAGTTCCGGCCAGGGGCCAAAACTTCCATTCTTGTTTCAGCAGGTGGAAAGTGGTCCATGTGCCCGCTATTTACAGATTTCCACTTCAAGTTCAAATAGTCTCGCAAAATAGTACAAATGAAACAAGTCGAGATCCTGTGTTCAATATATATTTCTCCTCAAAGTTTTCCTTCTCTACTATGTGGTTGGACCTGGTTGCTACGAAAACTCAAGATTTTAATATACCCTATCCTCATCAAAGGACGTACTGGTACGCAACATCCCATGTATTTTTGCTCATCTTTTTTCTATTGCTTATGGCCCGGAAAGGCGTAAGCTAATTTGCCGTTAGCGTTAGGCTACGGTAGCTGATTTCTTGGGTAGAAAGGCGAACATCTCCCTTGATTCGGATCGCTTAACATTCTTTGCTCTATACAGGAGCAGAAAATACCTCGTGCGAATTGTGATTTAATTAAATTTTTTTAAATATAAAAAGTATCGCTGTGGAAATTTTTCTTTTCATGAGGAGGTCGGGGGATGGTCTGAAAGACTAAGTTTTAATGTCATGCCATATACGCAATCTAAATACTTTAATTCTGATGAAAATTTATATTTTCCAATTTCAATTGGCATCATCATGCAATATTGGGTTACATTTCCTTTATTTGACTTTTCGCTTTTTGAAGTCGGCTAAATTGGAAATGTTTAATTCGCAAGTGTTATTATTCGGCTGAGAAACGAATTACTTACATTTCATTTTGAAACCGAAGCATCACGAATTGATTCAATTCGTGATGCTTCGTGACAAACAGAATGAAGAGGATCTGGAAAATACGTCCACGGGATGAGAATAATATCCAAAATAAGGATATATTTATTTTTACACTAACTTTCACGGGCAGAACGCAAATAATTTACTTGCAGGGCCATTGCCTACGGAAATATTGAGACAGGACTGGATCACCTTTGTCTTTCTTTAATTTACACCATTCAAGTTGATACTGAGAGTATTTTTGTAAGAATTCCTTCTCGGCGCTGTACATCGCATCGACGAAGAGGCATGCTGGACTCCATCGAAACCTCGTCTTTCAGGGCATCCGAGGCCTCAGGAAAGACGCCGTTTCGAATTTCCGCAGGCTTCGTCGCGCTGAAAGAAAGACGAGTTTCTGACCTGAGTCGTCCACGGACTCGAGGACGAAAGCCGCAAGCACCAGGAATCGCAGCATGATGACGACTGCACGGGGAACGCAGGACTGCTCCGAGGACCGTGAGACCTCCTCTACGACCTCCTCTACCCGGTGAGTGCCGATGATCGCGCAAATTTCTATGGAATCAGTCTCGGGGAGGACGATTGATGGATTCTCTCACGGAGGTCGCATGCATTCGCTCTCCCACGAGGTAATGACCGGCCGATGCGCGTTTCTTTGTCCTCTCGGAGTCACTCGGCCGATGATAAAACGCTGGATCGTATGCGGATGGGCAATCACTCTCACTTACGACCGTTCGATGCCGTCCTTCCTTTCTTTGCGAATCCTCCTTCGATGGCGGCAAGTGACGTTTGAGTCAATTGGTCCGGTCGCACCAATTGGGCCACATGGGGTCCTTTTCTCACTCGATATTCATTCTCATCCCAGGCACACCCGGACGCACAGTGCGCCATTTTCATTTTTCATCCACCCGCGCCTGTCGATGATATTTTTCACCCTTTCTCGCACATGGAGAAAAGCATAATGGAGTCTCAAATCCTGAGTTCGTATATCTTAAAAAGCAAACGCTGAGCGAGTCGAGATGAAGAAGGGATTCCCCTGGATTCCTCGCTTCATCTTTATCCGTCCTCAAGGATTACTGACAGGCTTTAGCGAAACCCCCAAACACGAGCCATTCCACGGCACATTCAGCAGGAAATTCAGCCATATCTTGCTAATAACTTGCAGTCGCACGAGTAGAACAAACACGATAATGATCTGTTCCAGAGAACGGATACAACGAGGTAACGTTACCTTGTTACTCTGTGACAAATTCTCGCGATTGGCAAGATCGGGTATAATAAATCGCGTTTTTGAGAAGTGGGCGCAAAGGAAGAAGTGACGGAAACGACGAGGCGAAAATTTAAAGTCGCGATTATCGGCAATTATCGGCGATTATGGGCAATTATCGGCGATTATGGGCAATTATCGGCGATTATGGGCAATTATCGGCGATTATCGGCAATAATCGGGCTTGCGTTCGCCGCATCATTGTTAATATTAATAGGAATCATTACAGCATGAATTATCACGAATCGCTGTCACACCGCGTCAAATCGAAAGGCGATTGACGGCGTGGCGAAAGCAAATCGCGTCGAATCGCGAGTAATCGCTCGTCCGCACGCTAGAAGGCGCATTCTCCAACTCGCCTCCAAAGACCGTTTGGTCCGTCTGACGTTCGATGGAAGTGAGGTCGTCGGCGATCGATGGGCGCTCCACGCGTCTCTGCATCGACTGGCGCGATTCGTGTCTTCCGTTGGAGATCGTTTTCGCTTTCGAATCGGCGGTCGAATCCCTGGGTCGGACGGCGCGAAGTTCGTTGCTGAGGTCGACACCTAATTCAGATCATGCTCGGATTTTCTATGATTAGGAAACGTCCTAATTTGCTTCGTTGAATGGTTTGAGAGGGCTCGATGCTGAAGAATAAATTTTTTTTTGGTTAGGGCAAACACTTTTGAGGCCTCTCTTTGAATTGTCATTGCATTTAATGCGAGCATGGTCTCTCTTTTAATTTGTTATCATTTATGAGCCTCCGTCGTTCAACGCCGTCGACGTCGTATGCGGCCGGAAGGGAAAGACTTCAGCAGGCTTCAACAAAAAATTTTTTTCAGTTGGGCCATCGTGGGACTTATCCCGATAGATGAGCGCGGAGCTTCCATAAAATCGAGGATTTATGTCCAATTACCCCCAATCGAGATGGCCATTTTCCCCATGTTGGCTTAGGTGGCTAAATTGACAGTTACGCCTGCAAACTGAAGGAGCAACCGCATTACAAAATCATATAGGAGGGTCAATAGAATAACTTTTAATAGTTGGTTTCTTCATCTATGCTGTTATAGGGAAATATACAGTTATTTTTATGTATTTGTAAAGACGGACACAAACGGCAATGTATTTCGGTCCATACGGAGGAATGGGGTGCCCGCCTGGCACAGACACCCAGCTGGGGGTGTCTGTGCCAGGCGGGCACAGTCCCTCAAGCTGGGGACATCCGACGGTCCTAATGGAGGCAGGGGCAGCTCGCGGACTGGCATTGCCCATGACTGCCACCAGCGGTTTTGAAAGTGCACAGCGCCTGTGTCTCGCAGGCAGTGTGTCGGCATGTGAGATTCAGAAAATCGATCATCGCAAATTCCTCTGAGCACGGATTGATCAAAGGGACTCATGACATCCCCACAATTCCATATACTCTTTCGTAGCACTATTTTTAAAATTCACCAAGGAAAAATTCCTCAGGCAAACGGAAGATATAACGTAAAGGATATAGTTCCCCCAAGGTATCCTATCGCGATGTTTGGAAAAATGATTCAGGTGTTCACAGACTTTTCTTATCTATAGCACGAACTAACAAGTTCGTTTGCCCTTTGGACTAAGAAACTCGCAATGAACGAGCGTTCGACGCATTACGAAGAAGGAAAATTGCACCATGCGCTTAAAGCATTTCTTTCTCGAAGATCACCCTTATTGATGCGGCTAATGTATTTGGCAATTCTTTCGGCGCTCACACCTTAAAAATAAAGTTGCTGCGGAAAATGTTCATAGAGACATCATATGACTTCCAGCATGAGGATCACCATGTCATTACGGCGTTTGGTGTTCCTATATCGAACTTGACTCCTGCCTGTGGTCGTCGCCACCTTAAGTGCATAGAAATCTCCAAAACCATATTGTAGCAGACACACGAGCTTGTTTCTTAAGCGTTTTCACGCAATAATTAATTGTAGTCGACTGGGAGATTTATCGTTATATAAATATCTGTATTCTGACACAAGGACTTCAGTGGCTTTTTCAAAATCTTCCTAAGCCTACATGCTGTTGCCCGTTACAAAATACGTCATTCCAGATATTCAGCAAATCGGCATTCATGTTCCGGATTCACTAAAGGAGCTGTGGCCGTTGGAATAGCATTGGCCTACGCGTCTATAAGTAGATTGGGTGTAAACGCTCTAAATCAAAATGCGGAGGGAAAACCACAAGCGTATCGGAACCACAGGCCAACAATGAAAACTATGCTAAGTTATGACATCCTACCAATCACGTTCAACTGGGGCTATGACAACCGACCAATCACGTTCAACTGGGACTATAAAAACCAATCAATCACATTCGACTGGGGCTATGACAACCGACCAATCACGTTCAACTGGGGCTATGACAACCGACCAATCACGTTCAATTGGGGCTATGACAACCGACGAATCACGTTCAACTGGGACTGTGACAACCAACCAATCACATTCGACTGGGGCTATGGCAACCGACCAATCACGTTCAATTGGGGCTATGACAACCGACCAATCACGTTCAACTGGGGCTATGGCAACCGACCAATCACGTTCAATTGGGGCTATGGCAACCAACCAATCACGTTTGACTGGGGCTATGACAACCGACCAATCACATTCGACTGGGGCTATATCATTCTGCCATCATTGCTTCTGTCGTTTCCAGTAAAACCGGAAAGTCTGGACACTGCCATAAGAAGCCTGCAAGATTCCATGTTCTTCTTCAAGATAGGCCTATGTTGCAAAAATCAGATTAAAAAAATTATGAAGACGTAAATATCTATAAGTTCCGTCATCGATCTCCTACGTTCCTGGCGGTTCGAAATGCCTCTTTGCTGGTCAGGCCAGAGATTAGGCATACAGATACACAACGTAATCATGCCCGATTTGTATTCGGGATTCGGATGCTCCGAAAGACTGGGTCGGGTCGTCGTCGGTGTATAACTGGTCGTTTCGCACTAACGAGTCTGGCTCGACAGCTACTGGCCGCTTCGAGTGATCTTAGGTGTGGTGGATTTTTCCGTGCCTGTGTAGTCCCTGGGCCTGACGACTTTTACTCACTCTCATTGCTTAGTGCACCGAATATGAAGACGAAATTTCTACGCCTCAAAGATGGAAAAGGTAGCACTAATCAGTTCTGAAAGCACCATGTATCCTCGGTGCAAACCGGCGAGAAGATATGCTCGGGCACATCTCGTCTCCAGTGCATTGCGGCTGCCTGGACATCCTCTTTTGCGTTTCGCAACAATGGGACTCGGATTCTCTTCTGACGAGGTAATGCCCTCCTTTTTTCAGATGAATGTTTCAATGAACCCTCCACTGCAATAGTAAGCGCCGAAACTCACAGGGGAGCGTGACGTCATGAATCGGGAAGCTTTGCGTTTATTGGGCGACTTCACGGTTTCCCAGAGAAGGCAGCCGCTCCTTCAAATCGGCGTGCGGCTGCGGCGCGTTTTCCATTGGCATGTCGGGACTCGTTACGAGTACCATGTACCTAAAAGTACCCTGCCTATCAAGCCGGTAATGAGAAATGCCATGGCGGTGGCTGTGACGTCACTATGAGTGCGGGCGACGGGTCGCAGCTCGAGTCCATCGTGATCGGTCGGTTGTCATAACTGACCTGCGGTCGCGACACGCTTGTAGAAAGACTTCCTACACTCTTAGAAAAGGGGAGCGATTTTTCTCCAAAAAGAGAGTAAAATAGCTAACTCCAGTTTCACCCCCCT